ATATAAAGGTCCATGCATGTGACCAAATAGGCTCATTCTATTGGCATAGTAGCTCATTAATTATGTATGAGTTTTTTAAGAAACTTAAATACTTCCATTACTGTTGCTCTTTAATTATACTTTCTTTACTTGTTCTAGTATTAATTATTTTATACCATTTATGTACTGCTAGAACAAGTGAAGAAATATTTGCCAAAAGCATATTGAAGCTGCAGTACATGTTTTACCTTTCACATATTTTTGATATTTTATTGCATCTTTTACATAGCAAAAACTGTACACTAGAAATCTAATAATTTGCATGCAGTACATTAATTGTTCGGCCAAAAAACTATTAGACCATTCCCACTACAACAGACCAATTTAGAAATTAAAATTAAAAACAGCCAATAAAAATGTACTTTTTTTGTATGTGAAAGGTCTTTATTTAATTCTTTGCTGCACTCCTTCATTACTTCCAAGACCCATACAAACCTACCTCTTTCATTTTCAAACTGACTGACATCTATACCTTGAGATTTTAGGTACTCTTTGATAATTTGGCCACTGTTTTTGGGGGTAGCATCATCTGACACTCTCCTTATTTTGTACTCTCTTGCCTTTTCGCTCCAGTTTACTTGCTGTAATGGCCATGATTTCACATCAGTCAGTAATCTTTCTAAATCACCTTGAATACTTTCTGGGCTGGGGACATGAGACTTTGAATGTAATTTGTCAGGTGGGGTTTTCYTAATTCTTTCTTCAGCCTGCTGAGTGGTTTCAAAGTATGTTGCCATTCTTTGTTTTTGTCTTGATGAAAAAGACTGTCTCATTGCTAGATGTGAGTCAGTGTCATTCTGTTTCCAGACTGACTCAATTGAAGACTTTATTTTTCTTTGTTCATCTCTTTTTTCTTTTTTTGCTCTACAGGGGTGACCAGTTTCTGTAATCCACTCTTTAATGGTGGCACGGTTAAAAGGACATCCTTAAAGCTGCATCCAAGGTTCTCTTTGCAGGAACTGTCAAATGATGTGAAGATTTTCTGGCCATTTCTTTGAGCTCACTCTTGGTAGGTTTTGGGTTGTTTACGGATGTCAAGATATTTGCATTTGATGCTATATTTGCCAGTGTTTTTTTGTGAATTTCAGACACACGATTTTGTTTCTTTATTGGGAACAATGACTGRTCAATTGTGTGGATGTCAGCACAATACCTGCAAGACTTGACAGCATGCATGCATCTTCTCACATCTGACATTTCTTGCCATTTTGTGTGAGAAAATCTGTTRATGTAATTTTCTCTTTCTGATCGATTTCTCCATTGGGTGAAAATGGTATCCAGTTTATGACAGCTTCTGTAAAATGATCCTGAAATTGTAGTAAAATTATAGAGCCATATTCTTTGACAAGCATTGTATTTATGTATCAGCTTTTTTTTTTCCTATTTGACTATTAGAACATATTCAAATTTATGTATGAATACTTGCCTTTGTCAATTTGTAATTTAGGGTATTCAGTAAAGTGTTCTTGGTATAACTTGTGTCTTTCTTGTAGTAAACGAATTTTGAACTTCGTGTTACTTTCATTTGACTGCCGGGTTATTGCTGATAATGCAAGTTCTTTAGTAGTATACAAATATAC